GATGGACACACCATCATGTAGGTCAATCTCAGAATGGAGACACCATCATGTAGGTCAATCTGAGAATAGACACCACCATGTAGGTCAATCTGAGAATAGACACCACCATGTTGGTCAATCTGAGAATAGACACCATCATGTAGGTCAATCTGAGGATGGACACACCATCATGTAGGTCAATCTCAGAATGGAGACACCATCATGTAGGTCAATCTGATAATAGACACCACCATGTAGGTCAATTTGAGAACGGACACACCATCATGTAGGTCAATCTGAGAATGAACACACCACCATGTATGTCAATCTGAGAATGGACACACCATCATGTAGGTCAATCTGAGCACAATATTCAAACTTTGTAGAGAGCTGTACAGATCACTGAGTGCTTTCTGACTTTATCTGTTCATGGAAATTTGTCAAGAATCTCAGAAAAAATTACTAATCATAACAAGCACATTATTAACCACAAGCCGCTCTTAATTAAACGGAATACAATAGCCATTATTTCTCAAATATCACCGTTCAGTATAAGTCTATCATATAAAATTGTTATGAATGTCAATTTAAATATAATTGATAGGTGCCTGCACGTTGAGATAATAGTTTGTTTAGACAAGATAGGGAAATACCTAATTACAAGAGTATTAAGTTTGTTTACAATATGGATAGTAATTATAAAGTAAGGTAACTCTGTTTTCATAAAGATAAAGCAATGCTGTTATTAATATAATGATGTTCTTATATCCCTCTTATATTTATGATAATTAAGATCAGAGATGATAATAGACACGGCCAGCTCAATATTCAAATTTGTCGTGTAGACAATACACAATAAATATGATGAATACAGTTTGTCTGACGAGAAAATTGCTCGGCTTATACAGAATCCAAAAATAAGACGCTTTATCAGTTTTCTTCGGATCAATAGAGACTATATTTAGCAGACGCTACTTCAGTAATGACCAACATAATCAAAACGGAATAGAAAAAAATATTGATGAATTAGTCATTAATATTACACCAGAAGTTAATGCTTGGGGATATTAGGTGACAACAGATATTGTTAGTGGGTAATTTTTGGTGAATACCAAAAGGTTAATCGTGACATCATCCAATATTGAGGAGGATTCGCAACCGCAAATCTCCACATTGGTAGTTAAACTGGTACAAAATGACCTACTTGGTTCTTAATATTGATTAGTAAATAGACATTGTTCTAGCAGTATTATACCATGGTACCATAGTGCTATATAAACTACTTTCTATCACCCTCAACAACAATGCCGATTCAGCTATTTAGTTTAGTTCATTTAGTACATCAGTGGTGGGTTGCATGGCTGAATGGTTAGCATGTTTGCGCTGTATCATAAGGTCTGTCATTGAGTCAACTGGCGTGGTTTCGATTTCCCGGTTGTACGTGACAAGGAGTAGGGTCACCTGTCCAAACTCGTGGGTTTTCTCTGGGTCGTCCGGTTTCCTTCAATTGTTAAAGAACCCTACGTGCAAGCGTATTATTGAAATTAAATTGAACCATATGTTAGGCCCGAAATGACCTAGTTTGTGTCGATTGGATGTTAAACCCCATCTCTCTCTCTCTCTCTCTTACAGTACATCAGTGATTGTAAAACAAGACTACCGTTCTGTCAATGGGGGTTCAAGGTGGGGGACAGGTCTTTATTTTAGCTTCCAACGCTATATCTTCTTTGAGCGGCATTTAGGAACTGACATACGTAAAAAACACAAAAACATAATATGGAACACGATTAATATTTTAATTAAAGTGGCGTTTCGTTGAGAGTTCTTTCAACGTTTTCAAGCAAATGATAATGAAAATAATGTACAGAAGGTTTACGTGTTTTTGTATGTAAACCTTATGTATATTATATTCATCCTCATTTGCTTGTTTATTCCAACGCCATATATAAACTATTATATAGATGTTTATTCATGCTTATAATCAACACTCTAGAACAATGGAATCCGATTGGATTGCCAAGATTTATATGGATTAGGACATCAGCGAGATTAAAAATTAAACGATAAAATATTGATAATCGAGACTCGGTCTCGATTGTCCAGTACCATTGCTTCGATAATAAACAATATACGCTACATCTTCCATCACTTATAACTTCGCTCAGAATAAGTAATGTTAATGAGCTTTTCAATATAATCATTTTGATGGATTTGACCACTAACAAGATTTTGAAATTTAGAAAGGATAATCAAGACTTATTCTTTGTTGCCAAGTACATGTTCAAACAGTCAAAGTTCATATATAATTTTGCCAAGAATAAAGTAATTGGAATGAAATTTTCAATATTCACTTTTCAATATCTATTTTATTTAAATCTTACATAGTGTATCTTTAAATTAAGGAGAAAAAAAATAATATAAATTTACTGATCTTATGCTTCATGAAACATTCAGGCATTATAGCACTAATGTTCACAAAGAGAAGCAACTACAGCTATAAATCTGTATAATTTCAAATAGAAACATTAGTTTTGATATGGACATCAATGGCAGAGTTGTGTTGACCCATGAACAAAAAGATTGAAATCTGCCATGTACTGCTATAATGCAAATGAAACAAGTTCTAATTGCCAGTATCTCTTAGTTTATGTTATTTATTTTAAAGAGCCAATCCCGATAATATTTGGGAGAATAAAACTTCTTAATTTTGTATTCAAATCCCTTAAAATCCTTTATCTCAGGGCCGAGCAACTAACTCAATGTATGTGATATGTTTTCAAACAACTTAAACCCCTTAGTCTTCATTTGGAAATGGAGACTGGTGTCCTAAGCTGTATTATGCGGTGTCTGCAAAAATCAGACTTTTATTTTATAAAAATAATATGTAGGTGACATGTACCATTTGTTATCAAGTACAACGCATGGGTCATTCACTGTATAGACCTCTAAAGGACCCGGAATCGATTATCAGGTCACCCAACGAATAAATTGACCCAAAATCTTAAAAGGGTTACGTGTCCGGATAAGCATTTTTGACGTTCACGCCCAAACGACTCAATATTTGGGCGCTTAAATTTCATGTTTTCTCAGAGTTTTATTTTTGAGACTCTGCTCAAATCGAGATAGCCAACCAAAGTATCCTATCATGGTTTGATTTGATCCAATAAAGAACATAAACTATAGAAGCAATAAACGAAATGAAATGGGGTTTAACGTCCTACTGTTCTGCTCCTACTGGGCTAATGAAGACGGGCGTATGTCATACAGGGTGCTATGAGGGAAATTTCGCCCGGGCAGCGGCACTGTGACCGACTCTTATATCGAATTCCATCTGCCTAGGGATCTTTTATGTGTATTCTAATATATACATGGGACCTCGGTTTTTCGTCTCATCCAAATGACTAGACAGCTGCACCACTGACAAGGGGAAACTATGTCGGAAAATCTCGATGAACTTTCTCGACCAATGCAGGGATCGAACACGTGGCTCCAAAACTAGAGACGCAGTCTTAGATAAATTTTGTTAATTTAAGCCAATCACAGTCTCCAATTGGCTCTTATAATGCACACCAACTAAAGGAGCTGTTGAATAAATATTGTTAATTCAGTGTATAAGACTCACAGAAACATTTATATTAATCTTGTCCAACTGTCTATTTAAAGTAGCTAAGTCTCTAACTCAATATCATCCAAATTCTTTGACATTGAAAAGACGAATTGTTTGTCAATTTAAATCAACATTGATGTTGTGATCTTACCGGGAAAAGATGGGCTTCTGATATCCAATATTTAAGACAAAGTAAACATTTTACCATTGGTACACGAATCGTGTACAATAATGCTTTTCAGGGCCATTTGTAACAAGGGACTGTAAGAACGAGACTAGACATGTGCCACAACTCATGTCAAACGGTGACGCCATATTCTTATCTGTTGAGCATGCGCAATAAATACTATCGGTGTAGACTGGAATAACCAGACGCCAGAGATTGACAATCCATTGAGACGTCTGGCGTATTCCGCCGAACATAAAAGACTTGAAATTAGATTTAAAAACGGAAACGATTGAATGTAAACAGTTTATATACATTCATATTACATTATTACATGCATTGCGACCCATTTGTGTAAATTTTTAGGTGCCAAATATTAGCGATTTAGCTCCTTTAAAGCTTTGTGATATTTTCTTTCAAGAATTGTAAATTATTCATTTTTATGAGCGATTGGAGAGACTAAATATCAAGTATAACATTATTATACAAATGGACACTGAAAGATATAGAATCCAGCTGTGGCTGTGTTTGTATCTATGGTCAATGGTGCATGGTGGGTATTAGTCTTTAGACTTAAATTCAAAGTCTCATAGGATTAGATAAATTCAAAATAATTTAGCAGTCTGATGTATTAAAGAAGCTAAACCTCTAAACTCAATATTTTCTATAAAATTCGAAATTAAAAACACAAATTAAAATTCAATATTGATCCATTTCTATCATTACTGATGTTATTTTGCCGTGAATATGAAAATTTTAAAATCAATACACGAGTCATGTATTCTATGGTTTCGGGTGCCATTTGTAATGAACAAAGCAAAACATATCTATAAGACAATGATGAAGTAATTAGTAATAGCTGATTCACCAACGGCAAAATAATAATAAAAAATTGGGTTAAGCAGGCATAAACAACTGCCTCGCAGTTTGGACTGTTCACATATTTCAAGGAACATAATTGATGAGAAATTACAATAAAAATGTTAAAAATGTAATATAAATCACTTTATATACATTCATATTACAATAATATGTGCTTTTAGACCCATTCCGGTTGTTTTCCAGTATATAATATTGCCGATATTACAATAATATATGCTTTTATATCCATTTTCATCTATTTTAAGGTTCCAAAGAATAGAATCATACGCCCTTTAACTCAAGAATCAAGACTCCCTCTGTCATCGTGTATTGTGTTGACTGACAACACTAGTTTATATTATAACTATATAATTATTATGATTACAGGGTGTGGTGGTTGAAGAAGTCGATGATGGACAACCGTGTGTAGCTTGTGGTGATAGATGTCCTGGGTTTCTTACTCATGAATGGAGGTAATTAAGATAATTTATGTTTTGTGACAGCTACCTGGTAGGCAAAATCAGTAAACTCATGAGTTTAATGTTGTGTGAAGAGGTTAAATGGTTCCAGTCGCGAACACTGAAGTGAGGTGGTCTTGTAAACGCTCTGAGAACGTAATGGAGTGAAAGAGAGAGAGAAATGGGGTTTAACGTCCACTCGACACAAACCAGGTCATTTTGGGTATAATATATGGTTCAATTTTATTTCAATAATTCGCTTGCGCGTAAGGGTCTTTACATCTATACATATATTTGTGACTGTCTTTTGTCTGTTTGTCTGTCTGTCTGTTCGGGGTTGGCGGTTACACTAGGTCTGCCCCGAGTCTGAAATTTGGGGTATAGGGGTAGCTCGGACCGGGGAGTAACATAGGCCTTGTGGCGTTAGTCTACCACTTCCGGTTTCGGAGTCATGACCACTGACCGAAGCCGGGTATCCTGCTAGTAAAGATATATTTCTTTAAATGGTTAATTAGCAAAACTTTACATTTTTAAACCATCAGGTGATCTGCCCTCAGGCTTGTGTTTTTACTTGTCAGCCTAATAGTTGGTCACTTTTGACCTCTTTTCCTAAACTACATGTATTTGATGGATTTAAATGAAATTTGATAGTTATATATAGCAAGGATAGTCTTTATTCAGATTTGTTCAAATTTAATTGCTGGCACCTTTAAGAGGGAAAGTATGTAGTCTTGAAAATGAAAAATGTTCTCCTTGAATGGACTTCTATAAAATTTGATAGAAATCATCCTTAGATAATCAAGATGAAAGTTTGTTAAAGTGAAAAGGATAGGAACACCACAGATGGGCATATTTAAAAAAAAACATTTTGAACTTTTTTCACTAAGGGGGCCTAATGTCGACTTTGCAACTCAAAGCAATTTAACTAGTTGCAGCCAGTTAAAAGTGTGCTTATGTCGATCATATCAGCAACTGAGAGCATCTGAATTCGGAGGGCTTATGTTGACTCAGAACTGATAGTGATTACACTTAAACGTGACTATTAATTTATTCATCATGTGATCTACTCCATTTCACATTTGTCATACACACAAAGACTAAATAAACTTTTTCAATTTTATTAAATGGAAGCAGAATAAATACTTAACAAAATTCTCGAAATATGCTTAGTGTTTTGACAAAAATTATTAATTTAAGACTTAAAATGTCTGTTAACTAGCTTAGTGTCTGTTCTCAAGCAGCGGTAACTGTAGATAGACAGCCTAAGTTTAGTATGCAACTGGGTGTGAAAAATTTCGCAGGTTCATCTCGATCCGCTCCAGGATTCAACCTATAACATTTTATACTGTTTGAATGGCATTTAGTAATTGAGCACATTAAAAAATAAACACAAAGTTATATGGATAACAATTACTATATTTCTATTAAAGCTACGTTTCAACAATGATTCTCTTGTCGTTTTCAAGCACAATACTGATACAGATAGAAGGAATGAGATATATATACTATGTACAATGAGTTTTCATTGAATGTTGTGATTGTACATAGTATATATATCTCATTCCTTCTATCTGTATCAGTATTGTGCTTGAAAACGACAAGAGAATCATTGTTGAAACGTAGCTTTAATAGAAATATAGTAATTGTTATCCATATAACTTTGTGTTTATTTTTATAACATTTTAATTGAGACGCCAGTGTTCGATCACTTGACTACCATTAAACCTTCAATGCACATTAGGATATTTTAAACTTAAAATATTCCATTTCTTACACCAAGATAAGATATTGGTAAAAAATTAGGATCTAGGACACGAAAAGATTATATTTATAATAGATGAGTCCGATTACAGATTACTTTTAATTATAAAATATGAGAAATGCTTTAATTTCTTGTATGTAATCTGATGATAGTATTCATTGAGTTATTTCTAACCTGAGAAATCTACGCGTAAACTACAATGATGTACAGTATTTGCTAAGAAGAGCGATGTGACATTTTGTTGGTATAGTCAATGTTATTGTTGACATTTCACCCTACTTTTTATTGATAATGGTTTCAACTATGCCTCGTTAATTATACGTATTGCGTTGTTGAATTGAATCAGGAATTGAGATGTAACCCACCGAAAATATCTTGTTGTGCTGTTTGTCCCAGCCTTATGTCTGTCAGTTCGGATACAATAACTGCTTTTAATTGAACTAGAATGTTCGGACATGGTGTAGGTGTTTATTAGTTTGATAGAGTTTGAAGATGTGTTTTTTCTACCTAGGCTAAGCAGAGATAAGCAATTTGATTGGTCAATGCTTTGCGACAGAATAACTTTGATTCTAACTGTGTGAGAGTGATGAAACTAGTTGTATGGCTAAATCTATTTGTTAAGGCCAGCTCAATTTTCTTCAAAGTTGCTGAAATGTAAATAAGGTTAGGGCATGTGATTGTTGGCGAGGGTTAGGGTAAGCATTGAGGCTAGGTCCAGGGTTAGGGTTGGGATTAGTGCTAGCCCTGTTTACATCTCGTGACCTTTGACCAAACTTGAAGTTGGCCTTATCAAATAGATCTAACATGTATAATATCATTGTATCAAAACCTTGATTAAAGATATATTATGGGAGATAAGATAAAGAGATGGCAGTTCTCGCTATAATAGTTAAAAACTAGATAGTGTAAAGGTAATTTGCTGAAAATTTCAGTCAAATTGATCCACTATGAGCCGAGAAAGGAGCCGGTGAAATTTTTGCATAGTCTCGGTTATCATTACTAAAATCATTAATATAAACAGCATAGTCTCGATTATCATTACTAAAATCATTAATATAAACAGCATAGTCTCGATTATCCACTTTTTCTGATTTAATTATCTTTGACCGTTAGCGGCATATAGGAATCTAATCCAGCCTACATTGTAGGCTAGCCTTGACATCGAGAGTTTATTATGGTCTGGATAAGTTAATTAATGTCTAATTGATAATTTAGATAACATTTCAGGCCTAAAGAAAGACTTGTAATAAGCAGATTTTGCTCTTGCATAATGCATGTTTAAGTTTGATTGCTTGATGCTTTAAAAAAAAATCAATATGCAATTAATTAATATGTGTCGTAGGTGGGGGGACATTATCCTCACTCTTGGCTTGTTTTTATACGTTTCGTTTTTAAATTGAAAAACATGTATATATAAAACATTATCAAGTAAAATTATCAGGTTCTCAAATTTATTCTCTCAGCTGGAAAGTATGGTATTTAAAGGTTCAAGTGAAAATGTTTGCTGGGTTTTCTGTGGTTTTGAGAACATTTTGTATAAACCGTTTAGAGAAATCACAAGCCTCAATTGTTTATTATACCAAACCATATAAGAGGAAGCCATTATTTGATGGTTCTGTTTTCCCCCGGTGTGATTTTAGTGCCGATTTTATTACATAACCACTAAATTAGCCTTTTTATCTCAATATTTTTACACATGAACATGTTTTAACGTTTGCAGGCATATTTATGATTGGATCAGCAACATAAATTGCTTGAGGAATTATGGTGTGTACTTTGAGAACATGGCAATGTTTTTTTTTTAAACATTTACATTTTATTCTTTAAAAACGAAAAAAATGGAATAAATAATAAACAGATGAATGTCAGGATTTGAGGCTGTTTTCTTTAAAATGCAGCAGTTAGTATCCTGAAAGTTCTAAAGCTTTTTTGAGGAAATGGTTTTTTTTTTTCTTGTTGGTATCCAATCATGGAATAGGATTAGAAAATTGGAAGAGTCATTTAAATGATAAAAGAAAAATAATTGCCAATACATTTACATGGCAGAGAAAACATTTTATAAAAAATAAAACAGCCATTTACGAAAATTAGACTTATAAATCAAATTCCATTACTGCATGTTTCTTTTATCAGAAACGGAGAGAAATTGTGACAAGGAAATGGACATTTGGATTGACATTAATCAAAAAAATTAAATAAACCTATAAACTATCAGCTACCTTGACTCGATAGATTCGGAAAGGTTCACATCACAGACGTACAAATCAATAAACATTTACATTGATTTTCATTTTACTTCAGATTTTTTTTATGTCGGCAATGTGTTTTGACCATGTGTACAATTTGGTGGATATTAACTTCTGACATTTTCTCGACACCAACCTAATAGCGTGATAGAATCTTGTTCGTCTTAATCATTTTCCCTCCCGCGAAATTGCCTCTCCTCATTAGAATCCACTTAATTAGAGATTTTAGCACCACGCTACATTAAATTGTTAATTGTTTTGTAGACTAATTCCATAAATTGAACATCAGAGAACAATCGTAGAAGATGATTACTAGCAATTTAGGAGGAGTAGAACGGGGTATCAACATGTTATATAAATAATCATTATTTTTTTTGCCTGAGATATAAGGAGGTTTGCGTGATTTTATCAATGAGGATTTAATTAGTAAACGAGAATAAAACAGAAATTACGTAATTTATTATTCATTTGAATTATTGACCAGCTAGGTGAGGAAAGTACATGTGATGTAGGTTGAAGAATTTTAACAAGACTGTTTGTTCGTTTTATCTGATAAATCATTAACCATTTGAATGCCGAGTCCCTGAACTTTTCACAATCTCTATATTGTGTTCTTAGGACCTAGTCTTGAGGTAATAGTAATTGCAGTAGGACCACATCACACAAGTGAAGGTAACCTCCAGAGAACCGCCGGATGCTCTATATTGCCACCAGGCCCGTAACTAGTGGGGAGTGGGGAGTGCAGGTGGGGTGCAAAGCAAAATGTTTCGCCCCCCACCCCCCTGAAAAAATTGTCAACCATAAAAACAATAGATATACATTGTCTGTCAATTTTACAGCACCCACTGAGAACACTTCCCACCCCCCTTGTTGCTCTGAGCTAGTTACGTCCCTGATTGCCACAGCTGCTCGTTTTCAAAGGGTTAAAATTGCATCTTTATTTTGTTTTGGTTGGCTTATATTGCATAAGATGTAAGGGCTGGTGACCTCACATTTTGGTTTGCTTATACTGCATTAGATCTAACAATCTGATTAAAATACAGATCTATATTTTGTTTCATTTTATTATACGTTCGATGGCCTACACTACATGAAGATCTGACCAGTTGTACTGCAAGGTCGCGTCAGGGGTCATACGAGCGCCTTTTGACCCTATAACGTCAGACATTGATTAATCAATCAGCATTGACGTTTCTAGGGGTTAACCCACATTTCCATGCAGAGAATGTCAAGAACTCGCCGTAACAGACTGTTTCATTGGCTGATTCCTCACATCAACTAGAACGCCTGTTAAATAACAACTCTTCCAGATCCTAGTGTTGTGAAGACAAGTAAAACGAGATTTTGAACTATAAAAAACGAAAGGAAATAGGATTGAAGATCTAAGGGATGGTGACGACCTCACGATTTGGTTTGTTTATACTGCATAAGATATAAGGGATGGTGACGACCTCACGATTTGGTTTGTTTATACTGCATAAGATCTATGGGATGGTGACGACCTCACGATTTGGTTTGTTTATACTGCATAAGATCTAAGGGATGGTGACCCAGGGTGAACATAGATTTTGATGAAATGAAATGAAATGGGGTTTAACGTCCTACTGTTCTGCTCCTATACTGGGCTAATGAAGACAGGCATACGCCATACAGTGTGCTATGAGGGAAATTTTTGCCTGGGTAGCGCCACTATCGCCTACTCTTATATCGAATTCCAACTGCCAAGGCATCTTTTACGTGCATTTTAATGTATACACGGGACCTCGGTTTTCCGTCTCATCCGAAGGACTAGACAGCTGTCCTTGTCAGGCCCTCCGTTCTGCACCACTGACAAGGGGAAACTACGTCGGAAAATCAGGATGAACTTTCTCGGCCAATGCAGGGATCGAACACCCGACCTCCAGGCTAGTGAGCCAGCGTCTTAACCACCTAGCCACCGTGGCTCCCAGATTTTGATGAAATTAAGATCTAATTAAAGACTAATATAATAACAAACCCACAGGTGAAATGGTTAAGTTGAGATGGTTAAACAGACGCAGCTTCAAAAGCCTGTTTCAAATCATCACTACACCTTGAACAAAGAAACAAACAAACTTGCTGAATAACATCTAGAAAGATAAAGATAAATTCTCCGCTGGGCTGTTAAAAAATTAAATTCTAAATAAAAGTATATTTGAATGTTAGATTGAATTCACAGATCTTACATTATCTGTAGTTAAGTTTAGTTAACAAAACTGTTTATATAAACAGTCGCATTCAATTCAGAGAACATGAAATCCATCAATCCTTTGATGAAATTATAATTTACTGGTAATCTGTTCAGTGTTTGAGAGAACTGATGAAATATAAAATTAACAAAAAATCTATTTTAAACTGTTAGATTATGTTGACTTAGCTCCGATTTATCTATTTCTAGACATATATAAGCTCACAAACAGCCATGGTTTATCAGGGTTTGGTGACACACAATATTGTTTTTTTAACTACTGATAGATACTTCACTCTTACTATCAAGACTTGACTACTGTACAATCTGAGAGAGAGAGATAGAGAGAGATGGGGCTTAATGTTCACTCGACACAAACTAGGTTATTTCGGGACTAACATATGGTTCAGTTTTATTTCCATAAATCGCATACACGTAGGGGTCTTTAGCAGTGGGAGGAAACCAGAGGACCTCGACAGATGACCCTACTCCTGGTCACGTACAACTGGGGAATCAAAACCACAGCAGTTGACTCAATGACAGACTTTATGATACAGCGCGCATGTGCTAACCATTTAGCCATCCAACCTGCCTTTTGTACAATCTACCTGAAAATAAAATTAAAGATACATTATGGGAGATTAGATAAAGAGCTGACAGTTCTCACTATAATACCGGTAGTTAAAATCTAGATAATGTAAAGGCAATTTGCTGAAATTTTCAGTCAAATTGATCCACTCTGAACCGAGAATTTACCGATTGAATTTTCGACCAAGCCTCGATCATCATTACTAAAGTTGATATGATAAAAAACATAGTCTCGATTATCCATTTCATGATTAAATCATGACTGAAAGTTGAGCAGCAAATCGGATCCTAATCCAATAAATATCACAGGCTAGGGATGACATCAAGGGTTGATTATGGTCTGGATAAGTTAATTAATGTCAGATTAAAGAAAGACCTGAAATGGGCAGATTTAGCTCTTGCATAATGTATGTTTAAACGACTTCAGAAACTTCATAACCAAAACTAAACCAAATGAACATATTATGACACCACATATTATGACACCAATTCTGAAAGATCTCCATTGGCTTTCAGGCCGTCAATGTATCAGTTTTAAAATACTGTCTATTACATATTCTGCTCTAAATGACAATTCTTCACCTCAATACATTAGAGACCTTCTCAACCCCAATAAACCTTGCAGAAACCTTTGTTCACAATCAGACAACCTCTTAATTAAGCCTTTTTCAAAAACCAAATCCGGTGATAGATCTTACGCAGTTGGTGCTCTGAAGTTATGGAATTCAATATCGAACGAAACCAAAAGCGCAAATTCTATTAAAGGTTTGAAAAAGTATCTCAAAACTGTAGTTTTTAATCAAATATACAACTGATTGAATACTGTTCTAGCTGTGTTTGTGTCAGACTTTTACCATGTGTACTAAATAGTGTTCTCTGGTTTTTTTTGTTTATCTCTTTTTTATGGATCAATGTGATTGTTTTAATTTTATATTAGGTGTACTTATGTAAAGCACCTGCCGCCCGAGAGCAGCTTATTGAGTTGAATTGTCGACGCTATATAAATCTATTATTATTATTGCTGCTTTCAAACACAAATGCATGTTTCTAATGAATTTTGTAATATTGTTGGGATATGAAATTGTTTGACAACAATATGTCCAAATAGTCCCAATGCATTTGTATTTCAACTCACCCAATCCAGTGTATGATTTTGCCTCCCCCCCCCACCCAATGATCAAATTAGTATCATGTTATTGCTAATATTTCAATAGATTGGAGGCAAGAATAAAAACAAATGTATGATTAAAGAGGCATTATGTAAGATTTAGATAAAGAGTTGACTATTCTTGCTATAATAGTAAAAAGAAAATGTTGAAAATTTCAGTCAAATTGCTCCACTCTGAACCAAGATATTAGCTTCTGAATTTTGAGCCTAGCCTCGATCATCATTACTAAAGTCGGTAAGATAAAAAACATAGCCTCGATTATCCATTTTTGGATTTAATCATCAATGAGCATTGAGCAGCAGATCAGATTCAAATCCAGTGAAAATACGAAAAAAAGGTGACATTGAGAGTTGATTATGGTTTGAATAAGTTAATTTATGTCTGATTAATAGTTTATATAACATTTCAGGCCTAAAGAAAGGCCTGCAATAGGCAGATTTAGAGCTTGCATAATGTATGATTAAGTATTTGTAATAATCTATTTCAGGTACACATGTCAAAACTGTAAATGTCCTCGTCAACTACATGACGTCTATAATGAAAACTTTATTAATATTTGTGATAGACTTGGATGGAAACGACAAGATGATATTACTTTACAAGTTTCGAAAGAAGATACATTAAAATCTGGTTATACATGGATACCTGCTGGCCTTTCACAAGAAAAGGTAAGCTGTAGCTTTACTGTAGTTTCAATGATGAGAGGGTTTTTTTTTCATCAAAATGACACATCCGTTTTGATCTGAATCAATGATAAAAATGATGAATTTCATTGGATTTTATGTTGATTTGTTTGGTTATGTAGTAGGGTGGATTTTATGAATGTTTAATTGTATATTTATGTACAAATATACAATTAAACATTCAGAAAATCCATCCTTCTACTCATAAGGTCTGTCATTGAGTCAACTGACATGGTTTTCGTTTCCCCGAGTGTATGTGAAAAGGGGTAGGGTCGCTTGTCCAACATTGTGGGTTTTCTCCCGGTCCTCCGGTTCTCTCCCACTGCTAAAGACCCCTACGCACATGTGCGAATTATTGAAATAAAATTAAACCATATGTTTGTCCCGAAATGACCTAATTTGTGTTGAGTGGACGTTAAACCCCATCTCTCTCTCTCTCGCTCTCTCTCTCTCTATCTCTCTCTCTCTCTCTCCACCCTACTACACTAAACAAACCTATTTCCACTTAATCTTACCAAAAAATCACTAATCGAAGTAACACATCAGATCCACACAATTCAGTGCTTTATATATGATGTGTCAAGGGAAATAACTCTTCAATGAATGCTCCAATATTTTCCTCCAGAATCCATTAATATTAGTTTAGATATAAATGAAATGAAATGGGGTTTAACATCCTACTTTTTTAGTCTGACTGGGCTAATGAAGACAAGTGTATGCCATGCAGTGTGCCGTGAAGGAATTTTGCCCAGATGGGACAAAAAAACAAGGTTCTGTGTACACATTGGTGTGCATGTAAAAGATCCCTTGACAGTTGGAATTCGATATAAGAGTAGGCCTTAGTGCTGCTGTCCAGCCAAAATTTCCCTCATAGCACACTGTATGGCGTATGCCTGTCTTCATTAGCCCAGTTTGGAGCAGAACAGTAGGATGTTAAACCCCATTTCATTTCATTTCATTTTCTTACTCACTGAGCCACCATGACTCTCTTATATTCTCCTCTTTTTTTTTATTTAACAGATAGACGATTATATAGATCAACTACCTAATCATAAAGTGCCTAAAATAGGTACACAGGGCGAAAAATATCGAGATATGCAAGTTATAATTCAACTACCCAAACAAGATCTCTCTGAAGATTTCTGTAGAACATTAGAAAATGATTGGGAAAAAAAGGAATTTAGAATATTTCGAGATTTGCGAGATCAAGTAGCAATGGGAATAGGATGTATTAAAGAAACACCTTCTATAACAGTAAGGGATTTTTATTATTTTGATAAACAGATAAGATATAATTCCTTGGCAAATGAAATTGGATTAAGGTCATACTTTTCTGCTCCATCAGGGCTAATGAAGACGGGCATACGCCATACAATTCCTACTGTCAAGGGATCTTTTACGTGCATGCCAATGTGTACACGGGACCTCGGTTTTTCGTCTCATTCAAACGACTAGCCAGCTGCCCTTGTCAGGCCCTCCGTCCTGCATCACTGACACGGGAGAACAGGGTTAATGAAGATGGGCATAGGACATGCAGGAAATTTTGCCTACTCTTATTTTGATTTCGAACTATCAAAGGTTCTTTTACGTGCACACCAAAGTGTACACAGGACCTTGATTTTTTTATACCATTGAAACAACTAGACATTGACTTGACAGGCCCAATTTCCATGGCAATCTAGATCCTAAATACATAACCATTGATTAGAAAATATATAAAAACTTCTTAGGGGTGTTGGATGGCCGAATAGTTAGCGTGTGCGTGTTATATCATAAGGCCTGTCATTGAATCAACTGACATGGTTTCGATTCCCCGGTTGTACGTGAGAAGGAGTAAGGTCGCCTGTCCAACTTCGTGGGTTTTCTCCAGGTCCTCCGGTTTCCTCCCACTGCTAGAGACAACATATCTTAGTCCCGAAATGACCTAGTTTGTGTTGAGTGGATGTTAAACCCCATTTCCCTCTCTCTTGTCAAAACTACTGAGAAAAATATATATTTAACAACAGACTTCAAACCAAGCATATTTTGAATAATACAAATATTAACGCAGGTGTTAATTATAAATGAAACTTCACTCTAATTATAAGGCAAGTAAATGGATGAGTACACTGACTTGAGCATGGTTACTATGCAACAGCGAACACTTATACACAAGTTAACAAACAGTGGTTGACAGTGTGTAATAATTAACATACTTGATTTTTTGTGGTCTAAGATAAGAACAAGTTTTATTGGTCACATATATGACCTGATTATGCCATAAGGAGTATATCTGTAAGCTTATCATTAAGGATTAGATCATATAATATTTTTTATAGAACTTCATTAATTGTCATTGTAATATACCTCGAGTAATTCTCTTTATTTAAAGCAGGGCTGCTTTCATAGTTGGGGGGGTTGGATGGCCGAATGTTTAGCGTTTGCACGCATGGTTGCAATTCCCTGGTTGTACGTGACAAGGAATAGGGTCGCTTGTCTAACCATATGTTAGTCCTGAAGTGACGTAGTTTGTGTCAAGTGGACATTACTCTCTCTCTCTCTCTCTCTCTCTCTCTCTCTCTCTCTCTCTCTCTCACAGTTGTAACTCTTATGATTAAGTTATCCATCTAGTAAATTTGATTTTCAAGATTCAAATTTCTATGGGTACCAGAATTAAAATATTACTGTCTTGTAATTTAATGATATATATAAGTTTGGAGGATCAAAAAGTGTAGGACGACATTCTTATAATTAGATAGATCAGATTCCATTTCAATAACTGGTAATCATATATCTGTCACAAGAAGATTAATTAATGACCAGTATAATGAGTAGTTCATCAAATATCTTTAGTAGATGTTTTCATTAGATAGGGTGAACTAATTATGTACAGGAGCATAATTTTCTAAGGAAATTAAAAAGTTTGAACATGACTAATTAGAAGTTTGAATCAATCTGATTAAAACACAGATCCTATTTTCTTTGTTTTTCTTATAGTGTACTACACTAGGATCTGGAAGAGTTCTTACATAACAGGTGTTCTGGGTGGCGTGAGGGATTAACCAATGAAACCACTGCCATGCACGGAACTGTGGGTAAACCACTAGTTGATTCATTAATCAATGTCTGACATCATAGGGTCAAAAGCCGTTCGTACAACCCCTGACATGACCTTCCAGTACAACTGGTCAGATCTTCATGTAGTGTCATCGAAAGTATAAAAAAAAGAAACAAAATATATATCTGTATCTTAATGGGGGGTTGGATGGCCGAATGGTTAGCACACGAGCGCTGTATCATACGGTCTGTCATTGAGTCAACTGGCGGGGTTTCGAATCCCCGGTTGTACGTGACAAGGAGTAGGGTCGCCTGTTCAACCTCGTGGGTTTTCTCCGGGTCCTCCGGTCTCCTCCCACAGCTAAAGACCCCTACGCGCAAGCGAATTATTGAAATAAAATTGAACCATGTGTTAGTCCCGAAATGACCTAGTTTGTGTCGAGTGGACGTTAAACCCCATTTCTCTCTCTCTCTCTCTCTCTCTCTCTCTCTCTGATATTAATTTGAGAACATTACTTTTACTTGTGAATTAGGGGATCAAGGTGGCTAAGTGGGTAAGATGCTAGCTCGCTAGCCTGGAGGTTGGGTGTTCGATCCCTGCATTGGACGAGACAGTTCATCCAGATTTTCCGGCGTGGTTCTCCCTTGTCAGTGAAGCAGGAAGGAGGGTCTGACAAGGACAGCTGTCTAGTCGTTCGGATGGGATGAAAAAACGATGTCCCGTGTACACATTGGCTTGCACGTAAAGGATTCCTTGACAGTTGGAATTCGATATAAGAGTAAGGCATAGTGCCACTGTCCGGACAAAAATTCCCTCATAGCACACTGGATGGCGTATGCTCATCTTCATTAGCCCAGTTCAGAGCAGAACAGTAGGACGTTAAACCCCATTTTATTTCATTTCATTTACTTGTGAATTATCTTTTTTTCAGACATGTGCGAACTGTAAAGGAGAGATCGATGAAGGGGAACTTGCTGCATTTGCCCCAAAGATGGGTACCGAGACCTGTTGGCACCCAGCATGTTTTGTTTGTGATGTCTGTGAAGAACTTCTTGTAGATTTAGTATACTGTGTCCACAATCAACAGATTTATTGCGAACGGCATTATGCCGAGATGATACGACCCAGGTGTCCAGGTTGTGATGAGGTAAGAAATGTTATTTCTACCTTCTGTTACTATCTATCATACACCTAATTAATTTGACCGGTAATATATCATAATATGCACCGATGTACTAATTATAAATACTTGAGTCTTATGAAATAAATGCACACTCAGTATAAATTACTTTATATAAGTAGTTAATTTACCGTTTCTCTTGGTATTTCGTCATTGCAAATATTAATAACTTTTTTGAACAAAAATAAGCACAAAAAAACCCCCAACTTCCCAAACAGTTTAGAATTGGTAATGTGTGTTCTAGAAAAAACATGCATGACATCTATGCTGCCGACATTTCAAAGACAATTCATCATTGCAAATATGAATAACATTTTTATACGTCTAAATTGAAATATGGTCACTGTAAAGGCTAAGGTTAATATAAATTTATACAGTGTTTAAGGTCTTGAGACAAACAATCAAAACAAATTCTAATGTTTTCTAATAACTACTTCATAGCCCCCCCCCCCCCCAAATCGAATTAGCCCCCCCCCCCCCCAATATTTCGCCAACAATAATGATTTTTTTGGAGCGTTCTTAGCCAGCCACATCCTCAGCCCCTCCAAAAAATTCTGTAGCCCCACCAAATTTTAAGAGCTGGCTACGGGCCCGCTTCATGGGTTATTACTCGTAATCAGATTTTCATGTGTTGTAAATGTTCTCATTGCTGACAAAAGAAAAAATATGCGGCAACTGTTGTTGACCGCCCGGACAACTTATCTGCTGTGGGCCTATGCTTTGTTGTCTGGCAAACTATCTTTGAATTGTAAAATGTAGGAAAAGCAGTAGTACATCAAGACTTCCCAAACAGATTAGAAGTGGTAATTGGTATTCTTGAAAGAGAAACTAAATCCTGCCTCATGCATGACACCCATCAATACATTTCAAAGATATTTCTCTTGATAATCATCATTGCAAATGATATGAATAACTTTGAAATGTTTTGAAAAACTGAAGTGCAAAGAAGCTTCCCAAACTGATTAGAAGTGATAATGAGTGTTCTAGAAGAGAGAGCAAATCCTGCCACATATATGACACCTATGTGTTCGTTTGTAAATATGAATAACATTCTTGAATTGTGAAATGTAGAGAAAAGCGAAACTTCCCCAGACAGATGAGAAGTGGTAATTGGTATTCTTGAAAGAGAAAGCAAATCCTGCCACATGCATGACACCTATGCCTTTATTTCAAAGATTTTTCTATCTTCTGTAAGAATACAGGATATTTTTATTTATCAAGAGTTGTAACATCTGTAAACTACTAGCCTTGTTTGTAATATAACGTGTAATAGATATATTCGGTCAGTTCACAAAGTAAATAATACCCAGGTGAAGAGCTAGAGGATACTACGTAACTTATTCATAACAGATATCTACTAATACAAACAGTTCCAACTCTTATACACCCCCCTTCGATATTATCACTTTATACAGTAACTTTAAACCTTTCTCTAATATCTAACATTTCTTTAAACTTTATTACAAGAAATTAATGAATTTTATCAAGTTGAAATAACTGAAATGTACTTAATACAAGTCTTGGATGTTAGATGTTATTTACAACTTTACAAAAAGTAGATGACATTATACCCCCCCCCCCCCCTCGATATTATCACTTCATACAGTATCTTTAACCTTTCTCCTAATATCTAACATTTCTTTAAACTTTATTAGGAGAAATTAATGATTATATCACGTTGATTAACTGAAATGTACTTAATACATGTCTTGAATGTTAGATGTACTTTACTTTACAAGAAGTAGGTCGATGTTATGTTCCAATCTCCCAAACAGAGCTGCCTTCCCTTGCAGTCCACACTAAACTCTGCTAACGACTGACTCATTTGACTACGCTACCAAGATTCTTGGTATCGATAGACAATTATAAACAATACAATGGAAACCAAATAAATGATAATATATCAAATAATGATAATATCAAATCTGTTTGTTCCTCTTCTTATTTCCATCTTCACAGAATTAACAAAAAATATCTAAATGCTGAGAGTACAGAACTCCTCATTCATTCATCCATTACAAATAAACTAGACTATCATAATGCCTTATTTTGTGGCCTTCTGAATTATCAAATTCAACACCTTCAACAAATTCAAAATGCTGCCGCCAGAGTTTTGACAAGTACAAAAAAATCAGACCACCTCACCTCGATTCTGAAAAATCTACATTGGCTCCCAGTTCAGCAACGAATCAAGTTCAAAATATTACTGTTGACTTTCAAGGCGTTACATGATCAATCATCAAAATATATCAAAGATCTGATTCCAAAATATAAATCCACAAGAACCCTTAGATCCACAGATAAACAATTTCTGTATCAACCATTAGTGAATCTTGAAATTGCAAAAAGATCTTTCTCGTTCTCTGCTCCTCTCTTATGGAATTCACTGCCTTACAACATTAGAACCACTGACTCCCTAGATGCATTTAAATCTCAGCTGAAGACATTCCTGTTTACAGAAGCGTTTCCGTAGTTCAATAGAGAAAACTTGAAAAGCGCAATAGAAACGTTAGTTTTAGTATTATCACTCTATATAAATAGAGGATTATTATTATTTATTTCTATTACTATAATAAAATAGAAATGGGGTCATACTTATCGTAAAATAAAGTATTTATAAATATACAGGTTCGTAAATACAAACTGCGCATGTCATCGTGCTAATTTTAGAATTATATACATGTGGATCTGTTTACCTATATATTGTGCTTGTAAGGCCTAATACAATTACACATAAAACATGCAAATTTAGACTGAAGTAATTGATGGCATTTCCACCTAAAATTGACAAAAACTCGTTAAGTGTTTATAACACCAGGAACTTTTCTGACATGCCATTTTCGTCATATAGTTAATCACATGACCAGTGACTTCTGGGTCAACCAGTGTAGTGCGTGAGCCGACGGCAGAGTCGAATGCTGGATGGCGAGATTTGTGTGGAGAATGATCATGTTCCTTGAAGTTTTATTCTTAATAGAAAAGCCAAGAACTTTTCATCAGGATCATTCTGATCTAATCAGCCCACAACAACTCTATTTGATTAATTTGGAAACCAAATTCTCCATCTTTATCCTAATTGAACAAGTAACGTTATTATGTTAGTTTCAAAGTCACATAATCTAATGACATAAGATCTTGTGTGTATTTTATGTATTGAATGTGGTGACTGAGAAAAGTTCCTCACAATTTTCTTGCATAGCTTCACTTTGCCATTGATGCAGTACTGATCGATCGAAGAACCTGGCATAGAACAGCGTCTAGTCTTTTGGATGGGACAAAAAAAAAACCCCAGGTTCTTTGTACATGTTGGCATGCACGTATAAGAATCCATGACCAATGTTATCCAAAATAAGAGTAGGGTTCAGTACTGCATGGCGTATGCCTATCTTCATTAGCCAGATTGGTGCTAAAAAATAAGACCTTAAACCCCATTTCATTTAATGTCCTTTAATGGTCAAGTTTACAATTGGACCTTGTAATCAGGTCTTCCAAGTAGGTATGTTGAAGTACATTATTAAGGAGTGTTGCTAAAACACAGAATGGAATGAGAAACGGAACGGACGACAGAATGTTTATCAGATGGCAGTACACTCAGCCATTGCCTTGTATTTGATCAAATATATTTTATTTATAGATTGTTTCCCCTATTCTCTTGCGGTGGGGAGAGGGTCGAGTGGTGTAAAGACTGCGGTTTAGACCATGAAGTCTGTCATTGAAACATGTGGCGTGTTTTAATCAATGTCAAGCTTGTACGTGACAATGAGTAGGTTAGCATGCCCAACCTCGTGGGTTTTCTGTGGTGCCCACAGCTAAAGACCCCTATGCGGAAGCGAAATATTGAAAAAAATATTGTACCATATGTTAACCTGAAATGGCCTAGTTCATGTTGAATTGATTTACATATGGTTCAATTTTATTTTAATAATTTGCTTGCGTGTAGGGCTCTTTAAAGGCTCAATACCACTCTTGTTGTAACTGAATAATATGTCCCAATCTTTATTCTGGTCAATTAATTGATGATACAAATTTCATCTAACACACTTTATTTAAAAAATTTGAAAAATTCAACATAATGGTTTGAAACGTCTAACGTAAACCTTTTCAAATGAAACTTCGATTTAAAAATATTTTCGAACCCTCTGGACAAGTAAAATAGGATGTAATGGATAATTTACACAACAGGTAGGACACTTAAACATCTAGTACTTAGATAGAGATATTATTTATTTTCTGGAGCTTTCAAGCCAGCAAGAGTGTTATTGTCCCTTTAAGCAGTGAGAGGAAACCAGAAGACCTGGAGAAAAGCCATGATTTGCTTACGTGTAAGGGGTCTTTAGCAGTGAGAGGAAACAGAAGGACCCAGAGAAAACCAACCCACAAGGTTGGACCGGCGACCCTAATCCTTGTCATGTACAACATGGGAATTGAAACCATGAAACTCAAAAATAATGGTCTGAGTTATATAACAATGATTTCAGAGTCTTTATAGCGAATCCCCGGTTGTACGTGACAAGGAGTAGAGTCGCCCGTCCAACCTCGTGGGTTTTCTCTGGGTCCTCCGGTTTCCTCCCACTGCTAAAGACTCCTATGTGCAAGCGAATTATTGAAATAAAATTAAACCATATGTTAGTCCCGAAATGAACTAGTTTGTGTCGAGTGGACGTTAAACCCCATTTCTCTCTCTCTCTCTCTCGTCTTTATAGCAGACTGTTAAATTCATGGGTCTGAATAAAGTTTGAAACAATTCTAGTAATAAGATATAGCAGATCATGACTCTGGCTGGCATTACACAATATGGTTTTTCTGGGTTATATTCCTGATTATTTTCAAATTTGAGTGAAATCTGTGTCACTACAGGCCCGGGACTGTACAGCGCAGTGGACGCTTACGGCTAGCCCCCGGATCCATTCACTTTATTTGAATTGTTTGTTTGTTTGTAATTTTCTGTGTATTGTGTCTTGTCCATA